ATCGGGTGGCGAAGGGAGTGGGGGGGGGCGGGGGCGGCGGAGAGGGTCAGGCGGGGAGAGGTTGGAGGGCTGGAGCAAACAGCCAATCTGCACAGGGCATGGAAAGCCCCCAGGGCAGAAAGCAGCCCCTGCCATGCCTGTCCTGCCCAGGAGACCGCTGAAACCTGGGCCAACCCGCTGACGTGGCGGAGAGGTGCACAGCCGTTTGGAGAGGGCTTCAGAGGCTCATCCAGCCCCGACACTGGTCCCTCCCCGGAGGCAGCTCACCCAGAGACCGGACGGACACGTGCTCCGACTCGCAGGAGGGAAGCTGCCTGCCGACACGGGCGCAGGCATTAAATGCCCCCAGCCTGTGCACACTGCGTTCCCCCAGCCGCTGGGGCTGCCGCGGGGGTGAATTGCATCCCACCCGCCGGGCGGGGCAGAGGCACCCAAGCAAAGCCGAGTGTGCACGGCACGGTTACTAGCCAGGCAGCGGCTGCGTGGACATAAAGTACATTACGGGTTGCAGCTCCCTAAGTCAGGGTTCTCTGCTCTGGCAGGACCACTGGGATTCCTAGAGGACAGAGCCCCAGCTGGGAGCTTGGCGGCACGGGGCCCGGTGGCCGGTAGCCCTGTCGGGCAAGAGCCAGATGGCAAAGGGACCAGTGTCCGACAGGAGCTGGCATCCTGGGCCAGCAGCCTAGCCAGCCGGTGGTAGGGGGACTAGAAACGCCGGCAGCGGGGAGGGGTGGTGGGCTGGGGGGGCCAGTGACAGGGCACCTCCTCTGATCCAGCAATATCCCTCGTTCGGGACCAGTCTGGTCCTGAGGGTGCTGGCCCGGGGGGTCCAACCTGCACCAGAAAGCTGTTCCGGCTCCAACGCCAGGAAAAGCCACCAATGAAGCTGCCCCCGTCCATGCCGCGAGGGTGCGGTTTGTTCTTACCGTCCCCCTCAACGAAAAGGGTCTCTGGGTCGCTGAAGGGCCCGATCCCGCCCGTGGTGACGGCCGCGACGCGCACAGTGTACGTGGCGTTAGTGGCCCAGATGGGAACGGTGGCCACCGTGGCGTTGGGCTCGGCTTCGGAAGAGAGATTCTTCTGAAAAAGAAAAGGAAGGGAGAGACCAGCTAGCCCGGCGGAGCAGCCCAGCTTCCTTTTGCTGGACACCCCACACAACGAAAACGGGAGGTTCGCGGGAATCGAACTCTCCTTCCCTCGGAAATGCTCCGGGTGCTTGGCCTGAATTGCGGCTGCGGTGCCGACCGACCCTGCGCTGCTATTTATAGATAGCAATTGCGCTTCGAGAACGGGATGCACACAGAGTAGCTGAACAGGATTTCCTCTTTGAACCACTTCCTGCCGCGAGGCAGGATCCAGCCCCCTTGTCACTCAGCCTCCCTGGCTACTGGCTCTGGCATAAGTGGGAAAACCTAGCCAAGGGGCAACACAGGCACGCAGCAGCAGGGAGCCATGACCGGCCGGCAGGGTGAGGGATGGCGCCTGTGCCTTTAATGCTCAGGAGTTACTGCAGCACTCCCGTCCCGGAACCATCCCGGCCGTGCCCCCACGTCTCCCTCCCACGCAGTCGTGTCCTGCCTCTCGCCAAAGAGACAGACTCACGGCGCCGAGATCACACCCAGAGCCGTGCGCCGAGGGGCCTTGTCCGGACGAGGGCTTCACGGGATTAGCGGACGCCTGAAAAGTCCAGTGGAGATGTGACTAAGGGCCGAAATGGCGAAGGGAAATCCCACGCTCCCCTAACACGCCTTGCCCAGCGCGCTGCGTGTTCCAGGCCGTGCGCCCGCCCACACCAGGGCATCCAGCGTGTTAGGTCGTGGCACCGTTGCACCGAGCCCAGAGCAGGCCTGGGGGGTGAGAACCCTGCAGGTGTTAAAGCTCCTTGCATGACCCATTGTCTGAGCTCTGCCACCCCTGGCGTCCCACGCTCTGGTGACCGTTCAGCTGCAAGGGCCCAGCCGGCGAGCATGTAACCACACCCTGAGCGTGCTGGGGGAGGCACAGACTCTGGACGCGAGCGGCTACCCCGCCGGGCTCCTCCCTTCTCCGTCAGGCTCGGCGGGCAAAGGGCAATGGGCTTTGCCCACAGGGCGGGCACAGCACGCTGGCTAATCTGGACATGCTGCTGTCACTGCTGATCCCAGCCAGTATTGCTGCCCCCCCGCCCGTGGGGCGGCGAGTTATCGCTTGGGGCTGGTCAGCCGCGCATTGCTCCTTTCCACCGCGGGCGCCTCCCTCCCTCCCTGCAGCCGGCTCTCCCGCCCACTCCTGGACACCGCGCTTCGGCTCCTTCTCGGTTTAGGCCGGCGGTGGCGCTGCCAGCGTTCTCGGGGCACATGAGCAAAACTCGGCCAATTCGGTGGAACGGTGCCCATTCACACCAGCTGAGAATTTGGTCTCTCCTATTTTCCCATGTGCCAAGCCCAACGATGCCCTTTCAGTAAAGACGAGTTTCGTTGTACAATTCAAGTAATGACTCGGGGGAAGGCAGATTTTGTGGCTGATCATTTCATACCAGTGCGGTTTCAACGTCGGGCTACTGGCATTTCTAGTTTTATAATGCGCCTCCCGTCATGGCCCCCTCCCCACGTTAGAGCTGTTTCAACGTGAGCATGGATGCTTTTCTCAATAAACCGTATGGGTGATTCCCTTTCCCACAAACTCATTGTTATTTCCTGAATTTCCTGTGAGTCAGCCGAACGCGCTAAGAAAGTGCCTGGCATTGCTCCACGACACACTTATAACTGAAAAACAACCGTTCTGCGACAGATCCTACCACTGGCCGACTGACGGGCAGGTGACAACAGTCACCGACAGGTTTCAAACACAGACACAGCAACGTCGGTGAAGTGCAAGTGCAGCAGGAACCAAATCTGATTTTCAGTTAGACAAAAGAACCCGAAACACAGAAACAAAACTGCTCTGTTGACACACAGACTTACAGGCCTATTTGGGGCATCTGTCCTGGGGGCATCACTGAAGAACGTGCGACCTACAGTTGTGCCTGGGAATGCAGGGAAACTTTCCTGCCCTTTGTCAATGTCCCCAGGTTTCTCCTGCTTTGTGTTTCTGGCACCCATGGGCACGGGTTGCTCTGCAAGGTGGTGTCTGTACTGCTGTGTGATGGACAATGAAAAGAAATGTCTACACTCTGGAAACTCTCGTGTGATTCCCATGGGGTCAGAGGGTGAGGAAGTTGCCAGGTGGCATAAGATGGGCCGTTACCTCTGTTCCAGCCCTTTCCTGCCCTAGCACCTCAGAGGTTTCAGCATCGCTTGGCTGCTGCATCCATGGTTAGGCATCTATTTGGGTGGTTTGATTTGCAAGGTGCTCGGGGTCCTCACAGCCACCCTTTCCCCAGTTCTGGCCAGCTACTGAAGACATATGACCCCCCATTGTTCAGGCTGGACCAGGAAGAGGTAAAGCAGGGTTCCAGCCCTTTCCTGCCCTAGCACCTCAGAGGTTTCAGCATCGCTTGGCTGCTGCATCCATGGTTAGGCATCTATTTGGGTGGTTTGATTTGCAAGGTGCTCGGGGTCCTCACAGCCACCCTTTCCCCAGTTCTGGCCAGCTACTGAAGACATATGACCCCCCATTGTTCAGGCTGGACCAGGAAGAGGTAAAGCAGGGAGTCAAGCTGTCACCTGCAGAATGGTCTGACACATGCTGAACTGGAGGCGGTGCCGTGTGCTGCCGGAGGAGTAGCCCGCACCACCCCACTGGTGTTAGTATCCACTCCGGGCCATCAGAGGAGCTGAAGGCAGCCATCAGATTTTTCTCCCCCCGACCTTGTAAATTACGCAGTCACTAGAGCACCCACCAAAGCGTACACACAACGGCCACCGGGGGAAGTCCGTCGGATCGCTCACAAGTCACCTTGCGCAGAGAAGGAGGTACGCTCAGGCCCAAAGTGACCATGTGGTCACCTCCAAACCCTGTCCTCATCATTTCTTTGAAAACTTCAATGCTACAGAGGAGTCACAAGCCCTGCCCCCGGCCACGTGTTCCGTACATGACGTGGAGATGGACGTGGTCTATCATTCTTCCTTTGCTGGAGAGCCAAGTGCCTCGTGCAGGCCAGTGCGGCATTCGGTGGTTACCCACAAGCATTCCCCAACTGGACAACGAAGTTGCACGTGGTTACGTGAGCCTAGTGTTACCATTTGCTGGAACTGTGTTGGTCCCAGGATATTAGAGACCAGGTGCATGAAATCATCTCTTTTGGACCAACTTCTGTTGCAGAGACCAAGTTCTTTTTGGTAATGGCCTTTAGGACCTAGGCGCTAGGCCAGTGTTTCTTAAACTGTGTCCTGTGGAACACCGGTGTGCCATGAGGCAGTCAGAGGTGTGCTGCGGAGAACAACAGAATTCAAAATGGCTGCCTTTAAAGGGCAGGCGACTTTTTATTTTTGCTCAATAACCTTCCCCTTTTTTCCCCAACCTTTTTTTTTTTGCTCAAGAAAAAATCCTCTCTCTGTGGTTAAAAGGCTCTCTTGGATTTTGATCTCCTGTGCATATGCCCTGAAAGCTGGCTCATGACTACCATTATTTGGATACTTGTAGGGATGTACTCCACTTAGGAAGGAACAATCGGTTGTACACATACAAAATAGGAAGCGACTGTCTAGGAAGGAGTACTGCGGAAAGGGTTCTTGGGGTCATAGTGGACCACAAGCTAAATATGAGTCAACAGCATGACACTGTTACACAAAAAGCAAGTATCATTCTGGGATGCTTTAACAGGATGTCGTAAGCAGGCTACGAGAAGTCATTCTTCTGCTCTACTCTGCACTGATTAGGCGTCAACTAGAATATTGTGTCCAGTTCTGGGAGCCGCATTTCAGGGCAGATGTGGAGAAATTGGAGAAGGTCCAGAGAAGAGCAACAAAAATGATGAAAGGTCGAGAGAACTTGACTTGACCTGTGAGGGAGACTGAAAGACTTGGGCTTGTTCAGTCTGGAAGAAAAAAAGGAGAGGGAATATGATAGCAGCTTTCAAGCACCTCAAAAGGTATCACAAGGAGGAGAGAGAAAACTTGTTCTCCTTGACCTCTGAGGACAGGACAAGAAGCAATGGGCTTAAACTGCAGCAAGGGAGGTTTAGGTTGGACATTAGGAAAAAGTTCCTAACTGTCAGGGTGTTGAAACACTGGAATAAATTGCCTGGGGAGATTGTGGAATCTCCGTCTCTGGAGATATGTAAGAGCAGGTTGGACAGACGCCTGTCAGGGATGATCTAGACGGTGCCGGGTCCTGCCGTGAAGGCAGGGGACTCAACTTGATGACTCTCAAGGTTCATTCAAGGCCTATGATTCTACATGTCTGTAGGACAAAAGACTGAAATTTGTGTCCTCGGCTGCCTGGATTCCCGCCCTGTGGCATTACATGAGGGTTTCCCCTGCAGTGCATGCTGTAAAGCAGACAGAAGGAATCAACTGTGAGCACAGAAATAATCTTCAGCCCCAATTCTGCAAAGAGCCTTTGTCCTGCCCAGCAGAGTCGGGCTCTTCTGCACCTCGGCAAACTCTCCTGCAGCCAGACGCCACTCTCCCATTAGCAGAGAGTTTTCCATCTTCCTGCAGGTCGGCAGGTTTTCCACACCGAAGGCAGGTCACTGGGAACAGCAGCGATGATGCATCATTATCCTGAAGTATAACACTAAGACTGGGCCTTTTTCATTGCTTAAAGGTCTTATGTCAAAGGCTCTGAAAAATTCTTTCTCCTGGGGCTTGTGCAAAGAGAAACGTGTCAGCATCTTTTTCCAGCATTAGTCACAAGATAATATTGTTTTCCTGATTCCACTGTGCTCAGGCCATGTCGATGTCTGTGTAAGGATGAAAAGGGGAACTGAAATCACGGTGTCTTACAAAAAGCGCGTGACTCATGCCTTCTACGCAAATTTCAAAAAATGTACGCGCTCAGCGCCTTTTCGGGTTCTACGCTTTGGATTCTTCAGAGGGCAAGACACAGCCCAGCAAAGTACACAAGCAAGCAGGCAACATCTGGCTGGGAACATGTGTCCGGCTGGTCAGGTTCCTTTCATGGTCTATAATGGCTCCGGTTCACCACGTTTGCTATGTAATCCCATCATTCAGACATGGGATTGCCCTCCATGTAATGGCTCCAAGATCACACGCTGTTCTGCCCATTATCACCAGTGACCCAGAAGCGGCCAGACTTCCCAGGCCAGCCTGGCTGGAAGAAGAGGCCAATACTTCTGGGTCTTGAAGGCTTTTGTAACCGACTTTTCTGGAGCTCAGTAAAAACAAGCAACAGCAACAACAAAGTCAGAATTTGAAGCCCGGGATTAGGGCTGGCCAGAAAAGGCGTCAGAATTTGTTTCCTTTCTGATAGGGAGCAAGACAGACCTTCGGAAATCTTTCCTGAAAATCAGAGGTTGGGAGCAGGGACTTCAGTCCAGCTAGCGTCCTTACCACCAGGTTCTTCTGGGCCTCCGAAAATCCTGCTGGCCCTAAGAACCTTTCCCTAGGGAAGTGGTATCAAAATCGAAGTGGTATCAAAGTAGGAATAAGAGATCCTCTGGAATAGGGCTTTATTCTGGAGGATCGGGCCAGTCTAGACGCTTTTTTTCCGGCTTTTCCCCAAGCCGGAAAAAAAGCGGCGGACATGTTTATTTAAATCCGCGGGGGATATTTAAATCCCCCGCGGATTTCCCTATTCCCACTTTCAAAATTAGCATGCCCCTTCCGAAAAAGGGGCCAGTGCAGACGTAGCCGGTATGTTTCCATGAAACTTTCCTGTTCAGTCGTTTTCAACAAATGTCTTACTGCATATTTTTTGCCCAGTTCTACCCAAGATCCCCAATACCCCCATCATTCGGCCCTCCCCCCCCAGACTCCCCTCCTACGTATGCATTGGGAGAGGGCCACTGTGAGTCACGCTGGGATAAATCCAACCCAAACGAGATCAGACTCAGAACCTGAGAGCCAGATTCTCCCGGACCTTCTACCTCGTAGCCACTTCTATCTGGATAAGCTACCGAACCCAAATTCCTGCTCCGCAGAGCTTGCCAGCATCTTCCAGTCCAGCCCGGGGATCCTCAAACACAAGCAACAAGCAGGACATTCTAAGGCCCTACTGGCTGTTCCAGAGAAACCCCACCGAGAAGCAATAACAAACACGCTGCTTTTCTTGCTTTGCAGCTCCCCGTCGAGACAAGAACAGGTACAACGGCACTGGCTAATACTCTTGGGTTATGAACTGTATTTGGTACTTGAAGATTTACCCGGCGATGGCCGGGTCCTTAACTCAATTAACTGTTGTTTTTCTTCATTTGATTCATTGCTCTGGGGAGGGGCTGGGAGGAGGGTTCAGGATGCAGGCTGCCCCGGGGAGAGAGGACAGCCCCCGCCCTCTCTCTCACTGCAGTAGCTTGGGGCCAGGTGAGAAGCGCCTCTCCATGGCCGCTGCAGTTCCAGCGGGCAAACTGTGGGAGGGGGGCATGTCCCTGGGCTGGGGCAGGTCCACGTTTGTCTGCCCCCTGCACTGCCCAGCCAGAGCGAGGAATGCAGCAAACGGGGCACTTTCCTCCCTGACAGTGACGAAGGGCAACAGCTGGAAGTGTCCAGGTACGAATCGGGGGAGAGGAGGCGGAACTTCAGACCCTCCATCCCCCTTAAAGGGTGCTTGGTGGGTGGGAGGTTCAGGGTTGGGGCAGCCCCAGACTGGGATAAGTGGGGGGCACCCCCAGCCAGCCCCTTACACCTGCCTGGTGAGTCTGTCTCTGGTTTTCTGAGAAGCAATCCCATTCCATGCAATCCCATTGTCCTGGCACAACCAAACCCTTCTGCTGCTTTCAGTTAGGATCAGAGAAAGCTGTACACCAAATTGGGTGGCCTTACCTCTTACCACATGCTTCTGACCAAGTGGGTCTTTGCCCACGAAAGCTTCCACTCCAACACATCTGGCAGTCTCTAAGGTGCCACAGGACTCCTTGTCATTTAAGCGGAGTTCTTGAACAAACAGACTGACTGCCACCCAGACAGACACCCACCCAGACAGGTTGAACCTGTCACATCTATACAGGCTGAACCTCTCCAGTGCAGTGCACGCTGGTCCGGCAACATCCGTGGCCCGGCATGATGTTAGTTAGCCAGACGTTGACTTATCATGGGTGTGGCCAAGTTTCCCGCAGTCCCATAAAATTTGTTTACAGCCACCAGACCTGCTCTCAGTGGTTCTGTGCTGTGATATGGCTCTAGTTTACCCCTAACTTCTTCTGAGCCCAGCAAGCAGTGGAAGCATTGGTCATGCTGCTAGACAATATTGACCTCCCGTGGTCTGGCAAGTTCTCTGGTTCAGCACTGGTCAGGTCCCAAGGTTGCTGGACTAGAGAGGTTCAACCTGTAGCAGATTAACCAGAAGCCGGGGCAGCACCGTACAAACACAGATCCCAGAGCCGGTTGCTGCCCCGAAGGGCTTGCAAACGATGTGACGGGTCTGGCCAGCAGGGGTCAGACAGGTGGGGATCCTCAGGCACCGTGAGGACAGAGGAAAGGCAGCTCCAAGCGGCCTGGCTCTTGCCGAGATGGGCGTGGCCATCGTGTTCCGTTGGGTTCGAAGGGCGTTTCCTGTCACACTCACCGTCACCGCTGCGGCCTGCCACGTGTGCAGGAGCTTGTAGCGCAGCAGGTCTCCGTGCTCTCGTCCAAGGGGGGGCTTGACCCACGTGACTCTCAGGGAGGAGCTGGACTTGACCGACACGTTGACATGCCGAGGGGGAGCAGATGGGGCTGCAAGACACAAACCGAACCGTGCGCGGAGCTAAGAAAACCCGGCAAACGTCTTCGGCAGCCACCCGCGGGGACGCTGCCCAACTGAGCGTGGGAGGCCCACTGGGCAGAGCTCTTGGAAGGTCGCAGGCTAATTCTTTCAGTAGCCCCCGCTCTAGGCCTCTCGGTCCAACCAGCCCTGGCTTTCAGATTCCCTGCGCCCGCCCGGCCACCGCGTGGCGGGAGAGCCCTACGGAGCCGGTGGCTTTCCCGGCACTGGCGCCTGGCCTCCGTCTCCCAGGCTTAGGGGCTGTTTTCAGTGCTTCCGAGCGCAGCTGTCAGAGGGCGGGGGGCACGGGCAGGGGAGTGAGTCAAAAGGAAAACACGCCACGTCTTCAAGCTGCAAGCTCCCCACTTTGGCCGCCGAGCAGCAGGCACCACGGCCGGGGAGAAGAGCTGAAAGAAGCCGTAACAAAAGCTGTGTTTCATAGCCCCCACACCGCCCACCCGTCCTAGCTAGCATGTGCACACACATGCCGGCTGCCCCTCCCAGCACCGGCCACCACGGGAAGGAGCTCCCATCCCCTGGGCCCCGGCACGGCATGTTCAGTGCCCTCTGAGCAAATTGACCCCTCCCTGCTTTCAGCAAGGAGCCACGCGAAGCTCATCTCAACAATCCAGGCCAGGACTCCGTCCTCAGCCTTACTTGCTCCTGCCCTACCTCCCTCGGTGGTGTTGGCCGGGATCCAGGGGCTGAACAAAGACCAGGCAATTTCATTCCTGCAGGAAACCCGGATGCGGTACTCTGCCAGGGGCTGCAGCTGCTGCAGGCGATGGAGATGAGGCGGCACCGAGGTGTTCCAGGTCCAAGACGAGCCGTTGCTCTGGGGATCCGCCTCTGTGACCTGAATTGAAAAGCAAACCAGGGACACAGGTGAGCCAGCTGGAGCCTGCCGTGCCACCGGCCCGTTGGGAATTCCAGTCCGTGACCGGGATCCAGAATTCCCCTCCTTCCCCTTTCCTCGGCTCGGCCACACGGGGGAGGAGACCAGGGAAAGTTTCACGGCTGGCAGCAAGGCCAAGACTTCCACCAAACGCCGCCTGCTGTAAAAACACCCGTCTGGGTCAGACTCAGGCCCATGTAGCCCAGCACCCCTCTCCCGACAGCGACCAGTGCCAGGGCTCCAGAGGGACGGGACAGACCCGTTCACCATCGCGTGATCCCTCCCCCGGGGCCCAGCCCCAGCTCCTGGTAAACGGAGGCGAGGGGCCCCTGGCCTGCAGGGCCGCTGGGCTCTCATTTCGGAGGAGGACACCGAATACCTGTGGTAAAATGCGCAGCTGCTCTGCCTGCCCCGGTGCCAGGGCTCCTGGGGCTGACTTCCCCCTCGAAACACTCAGCCAGGGGCACTGCAGCACCCGCCTCGCCAGAGACGCTCCCTCGTGCCTGGCAAGCCCCCCGCTGCCCCCGGGAGGGGGCTCTGCAGCACTGCGCGGGAAGCAGGCCACAGACGGCGGCAGGCGGATGTATTAATGAGATGGTCTCCCTGCCCTGGATTGCTCAGAGCCAAGGAGCACTGGCAGCGAAAGCAGGACAGGCCACAAAGCAGCCGGTCACGAGAACTAGATGCCCTGAGATTAGATGGGAGCCACCGAACGATCAGATCCCTACGCGGCTCTGACTCAGCTGCATTCGGACTCGGCCTTTTGGGGTGCCCCTTCGGGAGCTCTGGGATGGCCTCTGGCAACTCCCCCGCAGCGTGAAATGTCACCTCTCACGTCCAACAGCGGCCCGAAGCCAGAGCACGAACCCAACTAGTGCTGGGGACGGCGCTAAGCACGTACCCCCTTCGCTGGATTAACGTGCTGCCTTTGCCAGGTGGGAAACCTCCCCGGGGAAAGCGCCAGGGCTAAAAATGCAAAAAGTCTCTCCAGGCCCGGGGGAGGACATGCACACGGAGAGCAGCCCAAGCCTTCCAGTTATGCCCAGAGATTAGCCCCCAGCACCGGGCCCCTGCGTGCAAACCAGCACCCCGTGCCCCACGCTTTGCTTCAGAATTGCCACGCTCCGCACTGCAGCTCTTCCCACGGGAGAGAGTCAGGCCCTTCACCGGTAGCTCACAGCTGGCGTCAAGCCAAGCACCGGCACGAGAATCGGATCCTTGTAAGCCCCTGGCTCCGTCCCACGCTCACCGACTCTGAACCCAGACATCAGAGGCCCGTGTCCCTGGACGTTCCGGGGGCGACCCTGCATCACACAGCGGCGTCCCTAGGAGCGAGGTGCCTGCAGCGATGTTCCCGCAGACTGCTCCCAGGCCTGGCCACGGTGATGCCAGCCCGGCCCAGGGACTCGTGTAACAAGGGGAGGAGGGCCATGACACACCCTTCTTTGGGGGAGAACCCGTGCGGAAAACAGAGGGCCCAGTGCCACCTTCAAGACAAGTCGGTAACTCCTACTGGTGCCAGCGGGAGGTGGCTGGGCAGGTCCCTGGCCAGAACTTGGTTCACTAAGCAAACCCTTAGCAATATTACTCCAGCGAAGGCTGAGATCAGGGTATCTGGATGCATCATCAGCCACCAAACCACGGTGCAAATGGATTCCTAAAATACAGGTGGACAGGGTCACAATTCTCAATTCAAATCCACCTGAACCCGCTCAGCTCCTTCCAGAGTGGGGCAGTTGGCCGGATCACTGGGAAGGAAGGGATCGCTGGAGCAAGGGAGCGTCTGTTGCTATCGCTTGCGTGGTGGAGAATGAATGACCCAATTAGCATGATGGCTTGACCGGAGCCAGGCCGTGGAGCAAGTACAGTGGCTGAGTCACACCATGGCTCTTCCCAGGAATCACATCGTGTTTTCAGATTTCAAAGGGTATTTCCCTGTGGCGGGTCACGTAGGTTAACTCACAGGAAATTCTTTGTCTCCCCCATCCCTGTTGTTTTTCCTTATTTTTGTCTGTTTTATTTGTTAGGACATGAATTTATGAAGATTTTTATCTATGGTGACCAGATGTCCCAATTTTACAGTCCCAATCGGCCCCGGAGACGGTGAGCGTGACCAAGAGCCGGTAGCAGGAAGCCGGGTCTTACTCACTGGTTTTATTCTGTACGTGGTTCGGAAGTTTAGCTCATCGGCAGGCCAGGTGCTATCAGAGCTGTGACTCGGGCATGCAAAGAATGCTAAAGCTGCCACCTGCCCACTCTGGGATACCCACCCAAGCCCCGGCTCGCCTCACGCTGCCTCTGGACCACGCCTGGGCCAGGCGGCTTTTCATCCTCACCCCGTTTTAGCCACCGCCGCGCCCTTCGGGCAGGATGCAGCCTTTGAAACGAGCTTCCAGAGATGCCCGTGTAACCCGCACACCGACTGGGGGTGGGGCACTGTCCCATGGGGCGGCACCCACCCCACTTACAGGGAGGGAGGGAGTCTGCTTGGGAGCCAGCTGGATCCTAGCTCAAGTGGTGGAGGCTCATGCACAAAGCTCCAGGGTCCCCGGTTCGGTCCCACCTGTCGGCGTTACACCCTCCTCCCCCCCAGCCAGGGCACAGAGCGGTGGCTAGCGATTGGCCACATGGCATTGCCCTCAGCCAATCAGTATTCAGTAAAACTCTCACTCTGATCAAGGTAACAATGAGCCTGTTACAAACAATAGCTACATGGCCCCCGGAAGGGGCCCGGGACACCCCTTGCCTTCCAAGGCGAGCTCTGTACACGAGTGACCCCCAAGCACCGACACAGCAAGGAATGTCTGCACTCCGTCGTCGATCAGGAAACAGCTGCCCTGTGACGGCCAGCAGAGTGCTAAGAGCAGAGCGCTGCCGGTCTTTGAATCTCCCTGGGGATACGTGGGAAGCTTAATTTTGCTTTTAATGAGCATAGTCGGCATATGAAATGGGAGAGCTCCGAACGCAACACAATCCTCTTGCAGCGTCTGCACCGCCTCGGTGGAAATGCTCGCTCACGAGCGGGGACGGGGGTAAACAGGCAGGCAGGAAAGCTTGGAGAGGATACAAAATTATTAAAATAGCTAAGTCCAAAGGGGGCTGCTAAAGTCCCAAATGGATCGTATGAAACTGGGCAACAAAACGGCAGATGAAATTCAGGGTCGATAAGGGCAAAGTCGTGCACTTTGGAGACCATAATCCCAACGAGGCACATAAAACGATGGGGTCTAAATGACCACGGAAGAGAGAACTTGGAATTACTGCGGGTAGCTCTTTGCAAACATCCACCAGGGGCGTGAACGGGTAACTGCGGCGAGGAGTCCTGTGGCACCTTAGAGACTCACAGATGTATTGGAGCACAAGCTTTCGTGGGCAAAGACCCACTTTGTCAGATGCATGACGTGACACGAAAGCTTCTGCTCCAACACATCTGTGAGTCTGTAAGGTGCCACAGGACTCCTTGTGACTACTGCAGATCCAGACTAACACGGCTACCCCTCTGATACTTAACGGGTAACCGGTCACTCTTCCTGGGTGATGCTTACTGGTAACCAGGATCCCGCTTAATCAGTTAACCGGTTAACCATGACGTCCAACTGGGTGACTGATTAAACAGGATTTTACATCCCTAACATCCACTCAATGTGCAGCAGCCGTCCAAAGAGCTAATAATGTAGCAGCAGTTAGGACAGGGAGGGATAAGACGACAGTAAATATCATATTGCCTCTGTGCAAATCCATGATACACCCACCCCCTGAATACCGTGGGCAGTTCTGGTCGCCCCCTCCCAAAAAAGATGCACTGAAATTGGAAAAGGTGCAGAAAAGGGCAAGACAAATGATCCGGGATGCGAGGAGAGATTCCTAGGAGAGGGATTGCTCAGCTTAGGAACGAGGCGACGAAGGGAAGGTACGGCGGAGAGCTACAAAATCACGACTGGTGCGGGGAAGGCGACTAGGGAAGTGTTAGCTACCCCTCACGCGACACTAGAACCAGGGGTCACCCAGTGAACCAGGCAGCGGGTTTAAAGCACAGAGAAGGAAATACGCGCGAGGAGAGATTCCTAGGAGAGGGATTGCTCAGCTTAGGAACGAGGCGACGAAGGGAAGGTACGGCGGAGAGCTACAAAATCACGACTGGTGCGGGGAAGGCGACTAGGGAAGTGTTAGCTACCCCTCACGCGACACTAGAACCAGGGGTCACCCAGTGAACCAGGCAGCGGGTTTAAAGCACAGAGAAGGAAATACGCCTTCGTCGACATCCTGACCCCCGCCAGGGCCTTGACTCTTCTGGGACCCCAGACCACCAGCTCAGCAATGTGCAAGGGCACCCGGCCGGCCAGCTGCTCTGCACACGCATGGCCCAGTTTGGCTGGTCCAGCGAGGCATCCCCGCCCTGGTGCAGTCAGCGCTTGTGTTCTTATTTCTCCAACACGCCGCGGGCTCGAGGCTCCTCTCGGTGACTTACCTGAGCTTCAGCGGGGCTCCCGGCTTGTGCTGGAGCGTGAGGGAGAGGCGGGCGTGGCACGGCCGACTAGCGGTCTGCACCCTCCCAAGCGGCTTGAGTGGCTTACCTGGAGGCGGCAGCTGTGCAGAGGCGAATAGCCATCGAAGCCTGGCACCCAGGACACCACGAAGCCATGAGCTGTTCTGTTCTGGACACGCACGTCGGCCGGCGCGGCTGGAGCGCCTGCGTGAGAAAGCCGGCCCCGTCAGCTCTGACCCGCATGCGCAAGCTCTGTCGGACCTGCCTGGGCGCGGAATTCAGCGCCATGGCAACGGCTGCCCAAGTGGAGAAAGCCAGGCCTTCCTCTGGGCAGCAGGGCTGTGGGGCTGGGCCAGGGAGCAGCAGCAGAGTGGGGAGCAAGGCATGTGGGGAACCTGCGGGCGCCCCCCCGCGGCCGGGAGCTCGCCCGGAAGGCCGGTGCCATTTGAACCCGCACATCTGGAACTTGTGGGGTGCCCCCGCCGTGTCTCCACGCGCTAGCAGCTGTGCCGCTGGGGGGCGTGCTCTGGCGAGCGCCCTGTGGCATGCGTGGCTGCCCCACGCAGACAGGCGTCTCTGCAGCGTGGTCGCTCGGCAAGAGCTCGGGCGCTCAGACCCTGCCGGGGCGCGAGGAGCAGCAGGAGCTCGGTGCCAGGGCGTCAAAGGGGCGGCACTGGTTTCACAGGCTGCGCTCGGCCCCTTTGCCCCGGAGCGCTGCTCTCCCTGGCCAGGGATCTCCTGCCTCTTGCCGTGGCCCCCTCTGAACTCAGACGCACAGCTGGGTTGAGCCGAGTGCCAAGGGCCAGTCGGCGCCCCGGGCCGGCCTCTATCGCGAGCCCAGGCAGGCGGCTGCGGTCTGGGCAGACGTACCCTCAGGGACCATCAGAAACATGCCACTTTTCGTGGGCACGGGGCTCAGAAGTGGGGGGAGGTTGGCTGGGATGGCATAGGGGCTCTCTCGGAGGAGGGGGAGGGAGAAAGCTGCCTGTTGAGGGACAGGGGATGCAGCTAGACCCCAGACCACCTGCTCAGCCCATCACCGCGGCCCCGGCAGGCAGGACAGGTCAGGGGCCACGCGCAGCGCTCACCAGGCAATGCAGACAACTTACTTCCATCTCGGGATGCCTCCCAGTGCCAGCAGTGAGCCGCGGACTGGGAACAGGCCCGCCTTGCTTTAAAACACCCCCATGGGCAGGTAAGCCAAAGGAAGACATGGGGCCCAGCCCTCCATGCGGGGTGCCTGCTCCATGCACTCTCCCCTTCCCCTGGCCTCCGGGGCAGGTGCTGCTGGCCAGGCCCTGGTCCCGCCAACTTTCAGGAGCACTGGACACAAACTCCGCGTGACAGGCAGAACGCAGCTGGGCGCCTCCCCCGTTCCTGGGGCTGCCTGCACACGCTCTGCCCCAGCTGGGAGCACACTGCACATCTCAGGGGAATGCTCCCTAGCTGGGAGCACACGGCACATCTCAGGGGAATGCTCCCTTGGCTGCCTGCGTGGCTCCCACTGGGGAATTCCCATCACTTCCTAGGGAAAGGCGGAGGCTGGCTGGCGGGAAAAGGAAGGAAATTACGCGGCCCTTCAGAAATCCCCTCTCGGTTTGACAGCTCTGCTTTCACATAAGCTCTCGGGTGCTTGCTCCCCAGTCACGGCCCTGCAGACCCCCAGCCTTCCTGCCGGCAGAGTCGCGGTGGGGGCCCCCCGCTGCACGGGCGTTCGCGTTGTGGACATAATCGGTAGGGGGGTGGCTGCCACAGCGGACAGAGCGGGAGGAGAAGGCAACATGGTGCTCTGCTGTGGAGAGCAGAGACTCGGACCAAGCTGCAGAGACAGTCTACCCACCTCTCCGGTGCTTTAGATTCCCCCGTGAATCTTATCATGTCGGTGGGTTTGGTGCATCTAGTTCTCAGGGCTGGGAGCAAAGCCCTGCTCTCCCCCGCAATGCAACCGGCAGGATGCAGCCACTGCCTGGGTGCGAAGGTTTGAGCCCAGCGGTGGAGCAGAACTGCCAATGCCCTACCCAGAGCTGGGCAGGAAACAGCTCTCCTGCCCGGCAAGAATTTCTGAAAACGTTCCCTCCCAAATGCAAACGAAAACTCAATCTTGAAAATTGGCACCAACCAAAAATGCAAAATATCAGATCAGGTCAACTGAGACCCTGAGATCATTGTGAAAGGAGTCTTCCTCGGACGTTTACTGTTCTTAGCTTTTTTAAAACTATGAATCAACTTTCAAATTTTAGGACAAAACGTCGTTCCAACCGGAACGATCGCACTTGGGTTTGTAAAATGTCGAAACGGCATCTTTGGGGGATTCTGAAACTTTGTTTTCCAAGGTTTTTCCCAAACAGACTGACACGGACCCTTTCTGTCAACAGCTTTGATTTTGATACATCAGCTTCTTCCAATGAAAAATGTGCTGTCCAAAAAATTCCCAGCCAACTCTAGCAATAACCTCATTCCACAGTCTCACTGCCACGCGTGGTCAGCCGGGAACCATGGACAGCTTGCTGGGCACAGACCTTAGCAGCTGTAGGAGGACAGACGCCATGTACACCGCTTACCTTTTACGTTGATCTGCACTTCGTTTGATGTAGTGAGTCCTTTGCTGTTGTGAGCCTCACAGCTGAACACGGCAGTTTCGTTAAGACCTGCAGTCGGAAGAAATCAATCCTGTAATGGGTCAGTGGCAAGGCGGTGGGGAACATTAGTGGGACAAAGGGAAGTCCTTTCACTACCCTGTATTTCAAGCTCATTTAATTCCATTCACCGCACAAAGATCCCAGTCCTGTCTGATCGCCCGCACCCGAGGAAGAGAATTGAAGGGGAGGCTTTGCAGCTTGTGTTTTCACAAAGTTCTTTTCTTTTCCTATGGACACGAATGAGCTGGTTTTGCACGAACCACTTCACATCTGCCGAACGCTGCACTTTTGCACAAGCAGCACGGTAAGCAGAAGGGGAGCACGTTGAACCCAGGCACTCGGATACTACAAGGACGAGCATGGTGTCAAAGCCTATGCCAGACCCCTGCTGACTTCAGCCGGGCCAGGGGTTCACGCCAGTAATTTAACTAAACAGCAGAGAACCTGAGAGTGTTCTCTGCTGCTTGAAGGGCGTGGATCCGGAGCATCTCTGCTCCTAAGTTACATACACACCAGACACCCCATCTCGCGACCCCTCCCCTGTCGCCCATTCCCAGCATCTGGCGCACAGGGAGACAAACCAGCAAGTTGTCTGGATCTGGTTCACCTTCACCTCTTCTGGAGACGTAACTCCGTTCAGCTGGCTCATCGCCCCAGCTGGCTAAATCTACAGTACTCGCGTCTTTCTCCACCTCTCGCTATTCTCCCTCATTCCCTCCACTCCCCACTCACCGAATCCATTCAAAGACCAGGGCTCACTCTGCCAGAGTGGAAAATAAGAGCTAGCAACGCTGCAGAGGACACAGCTCATTCCGATGATGGATAAAATCCGCTGTGTCTCTCGGCTGGGTATCTCGATTTCACTCAATTCCCCTGTACTGTCATATGAGCAAGGTCTTAATGCTGGCTGTCCTAATGAGTATTGCCCTCGTTAGACTTACATCAGATGACATGGCCATGAACTAGAGTGTAGTTACTGTGCCAGGATCAGGCCCAGAGGGATACAGGAGAGAGCTGGAGGCCCCAGATTAAATAGATCCCTTTTCCCAGGGTAAACTAGCAAAAGCTAACCCAGAACCAGCAGGAAAGGTCTAGAATCACTCAGAGTAATCAGGCCAATTAAAACACCTGGAACCAATTAGAAGGCTGTCAGAGTCAAGGGGACAAGTTAATCAGAACACCTGGGCAATTGAGAACCAGTTGAAAAGGCTTCCCTTCTGTTTGCTCAGTGTGTGAGGAAGGAGCTGATGGGAGTGAGTGTGGGGGAGAGACTGGGAGGAGAAAGTGCAAGTGGGTACCAAGGGGAGGTGCCTGCAACAAGGCAGGTGTTTAGTTTTCACGCAGCTGTGACTAGGAACATCACAGACAGCTGCTATTACAGGGTCCCAGCGAAGATGGTGCCCCCCACACCAGCTCCCCATTTCAGGATTAGGAAGAGACTGGTTTTGGTGCTAGGGCTTGTCCTACTCCATACTACCTGGAGGGGCCACAGAGACTCGGAAGTTTCCCCTCTTTTCCTCAGGCTGGCCAGTGATGAGAGCAGCCCTGTGTCTCAACTGAGGGCTGCGGTGAGCCTCTGGGGCAAGTCATCCGCCTGAAAGCACCGAGCCCACAAAGGCTAAGGAGGAGCTTAGCCACATTACAGATCTGTTCTTCCGACTCACTGCCACCGGTTCTAGCACTGGGCCTGCCGTCTGGGGAAGAGCCTGAGACGTCTGGAATTCCCAGTCCTGTCCGGATGCACAGAGCGCTTCCCAGCATCCCACGGCTTCTCTGACAGCTACAAAGCTGAGGTGGAAGTATGGCATTTCCGCAGGCCCCGTAATTCCCGGCTGGTTACCATGGAGACAATGGGCCAGGAGATCCAAGGGCCAGTGAGGAGCAATGCAGGACAGCTTCCGGTTACACGAATTAGGGGCAATGCCAGCTATCGATAATCAGACCTGCGCTTTAACGACAGCCTAACGACTCTACTCTAATTACCATATGGGCATCCTAAAGTATGTAGGGGGAGCGAGTGCACACACATCTCGAGCACAGGGCCTGTGCAAGATCCGAGGCCTGAGCCAGGGGCTGTGAACCCAAGTCAGGCCGCATATTAACACAGATGTTTACAAGCTCAGAGCCTGATACGTGACCTTGGCAGCAGCACTGCTAGCATGGCTAAAACACCGGCACTCCTGAGATGCAGCAGATACGGGGTAAATGCCACAGAAGATTAACTCAGGGACACCCTCCGCTAACACCAGATAAGAGGGTATTTTGCCCAAGACACCTGGAACACAATACAACGGGAGGGAACAAGCAGGCGCCCTGAAATGCGTCAGGTGGAACGGAAGTTGTTTGTCTCAGTCTACACATAGTGGGACTCCTCGGCTTCACCCTTTGTGGGGCTGAGGGGCAGCAGAAAGTCCCGCTGTGGACCCGACGGAGTCCCTGCCACTGGGCACTTATGCTAGCGTGCCCGTAACTGCAGCCAGGGCAAACTTGACCAAGGGCCTCTGTCACTGAACCACGCCGGAGGTGGTTCTTTCTGGGTAGCGCTGACGAGGGCCGCTGAACCAACAGCTTGCGCAGGGCTGGGACAGCACCCGGAGAGCACACGCAGGCGACTCGCTGACAGCAAAGTCCACCCACCTTCTACTGAGACAAAGAACAGGTTCTACGAGCGCCGATAGCTCCCCCAAGCCTTGGGCACAGCTGTGTTTGTCAGCGCGAACTGCCTTTGCTTCCCACGAGCTGACATTTACCCGTGGGACTTAATGGTTTGCACTCGGCTGTTTGTGTGTGCATGCGGGTGTCGTTTCCAGCTTTCTCTCCTCCGCTCAGACTTTTCAGCTGATGCTCTGTCGTGGATGATGGTCCTTATACACCCGCCTGTTGTTCTCACGCTGTTACAGAAAGCTTGGTACAATACTCCAGGGTTGTTTAATGGGGAGCAGGATTACTCCTGGATTTACTTACTTATACACATCTTGGAAGGTTTCCCGTTTGTAATTAAAACCCCATAAAAACAAGGCAGCTGTCATAAGCATGAGAGATGGCCAGCAGCATGGGGACTAAGGGGTTAACTATACCTAACCCAGGTAGAGTTGGCCAATAGGAATGTAGGTAGGAATTTCAAACTGGGACAAAGGAATTTTTGGTTTCTTCCTCTCCTTTGTCCTGGGCAGTTTCTCGCTACTGAGGGAGTCAGACAGAACGTCTCCCTCTAAGAATAGACTCTTCACTCCGCTGTAAGTAGGGTAAAGTTTAGATAAACCCGTTAGGTTTTATTGTTTTATGGTTTGGGAAATGGGATCTGGTGTCTGTGCATTTAAAATGGGGTTTTCTCTCTTTTGCAACTAAGTTTGGGCCCATGGTGGAATTCCCTATGAGTATACTTCTTTACAATCTAGTCATTATGCTGGCAGCAAGTATATTGTAGTGATAATAGAAGTTCTTTCTTTTTTCTTTTTATTAACCTGGTATTGGTTAATTTTTGTGTCCTGGTTTGTACTGTAGGGGTGAGATTTCCCAAGTGATATCTCCCCGCTGATTTTCTTATCATTACTTAGGTGGTGGCAGCGGAGTTTTACCCTCCAAATCTAGGTTGTTCAGATTTTGGGGGCAAGTGTTTTACCAAAGCCTGGGACGATAAGGTTTTGGGGTACTTTTGCGGGCCCCCACTTCTGCATTCATCGTGCCAGAGTGGGGACGGAGCCATGGCAGCAGCCCTTATACGTCAACCCTGCCTGCTTGGCAGGGCTGGGGGTGTTCTTCCCAAAGAGCACTGCTTCAGAACACCTTGGGAAAGAGGGTGTATTTTCACCGTCTCGTTTTCTAGGCTGTAATCGCAGGGGTCAAGGGCTTACACTGAACCCTTGCTCAGCCAAGCTGCCCATGCTCATGCAAGTTGTCCCTTTGATGCCACTAGGGTGACTTGTGTGGAGAAAAAAAGCCAACAACCCCAGAGTTGCCAAATAGACAGAAAATGCAGAAGGGATGAGTCAGATCTTCCAACTTTCACTGCCTTTTTAACCCCCTCTGGAGCCCAAGGCGTGCCAGCTATGGCATATCACATACACAGAGGGGAGCAAGCCAAGCAACCCCCCCTTTTTGCTCTTTCATGGCAAAATGCGCCTGGATTTTCCATCACTGACGGGCATGAGGTCAGTTGCACTGGGACCTCTCTCTCCCTTGCTCCTCCTGGGGTCTCGGGTCTCATTCCCCTCCATGCAGATCTAAGGATCTTCTACAGCCCCATTCCTTCTCTCTCTCCAGGGTCCCAGCACAGAGAAACTGGGGGAGAGCTCAGCAAAAAACACCCCCCCCCCCGGTGAAACTCCAGCCTCAGGCCAGCCCGCCACGTGCTGACACTCGTCCCCACGGAGCGATGGGTCTGGGCAGAGCTAAAACGGGGTGGGGGGAGGAACGGGGCCCCGATCCTTGGCTGCAGCCCAGGAGCACTCAACACCAGTTGGGGGAGTCGCACTTGCATCCCATAGCTGCACTAGCCTGCACTGGCTGCCAGTGACCCAGGGAAATTCCAGCCCCAGGTCTGCTGCGGTCGTGCGCCCAAGGCAACTCTCCCAGATTGCCCAAGGCACTGACTGGCTGAGCGCACCACACCCAGCTCCCACACGGGCCAGCCCAAGAGAGCACTGGATCCAGCCCCTGGAGGACAGGAGATACCCGCTACCACGCAGGGAATGCCGCTTTCACTTCCCCGTTTCGTTTCCTTTCCGCCCGCCCAGGATGTCTACACAGCACTTTTATAAGCCCACGAGCCAGAGTCAGCTGACTTGGCCCACCCACGGGGGCTAGGTGCACTGTAGACACACCCTAAGGAAACTGCTGCATGGGCCGGCAGGGGAACAGACTCTGGGAAGCCCCAAAAGCAGAGCTAGAGGCACCCGCTGACTTCCCGTTTGCCCCAAGACCTGCCTTTGCTTAGCAGCACCAGCCTCCTCCACAGACAGTGCATGCAGCTTCCTGGGGCGGCCGGCTGAGCGGGCTGTCCATGGCGGAGGGGAGACATTTCCAGCCCTAAACTGAACCCAGCTGAAAGCCCCAAATCCAGCCCCTTTCTTCAGGTGCCCAGAGCCGAGCTGTATCTCCCAGCGAGGAGAGACAGCCCCTGCCCCCCGTCCCGCAGGGTACCACAAGCATCCCGTCCGCTCGGCCGAGCGAGCATCCGCCCGCGGCCCAGTGTGCCTGCCCGACTCTGCCGGCGGGGGAGTCTGTGTCCCACGCAGCTCCCCGGGCATGCAGCAAGCCTGACCACTGGCTCTTCTCCCAGAACGAGCCCCTCCCCACCCTGAGACACTGGGCAGCCAGGAGAGAGGCCAAGCTCCCAGGGGCGTGCAAAACCCACAAGCACAGAGCTGAGAGCAGCAGGCCTGAGCATCGCCCTGCCCCGGAGCAGCAAGGGGGCCGCAGGCGACTGCCAGGCGGACATGGGGGGGAGCCACGAGGAGGAGAGAACGTGACCAGGAAGGGAGGAGGAAGGAGCGTTGCCCATGCAGGGGTCCCTGGGACCCCCCCCCCCCGCTATAGTCTAGGGGCCGCATTCTCCTTCCAGCACGAGGGGCAGGACACCCGGCGAGTCTCCCCCTCTTCGTTGCACAGACGGCAAAGCCTGACCCTCCGGGGCACAGCGGAGCAGCTTGACCTCCTGAGCCAGCAAACGTCGCAAGACCTGCACAGATGCTGGGATGCACACAGCCCCCGCTCCGCCAGCCCCCACGGGCTTCCCCACATGCTCAGATTTCCCGCGGGGGTCCGTGAGGGGCATGGGAGCATGGGGCGGCAGCGTACCTCCCCCCAGAAGCCCCGGGCTTTTCCGGCTCAAGGCAACGCGTTTTTCCGGGCCCAGCCCCAAGGAGCACGAAAACTCTCCCAGTACAAGTGGCGAATCTGCGCCCCTGCGGAACAGCCCCGAGCTTGCTTCCCGCGCTGCTCGTTTAGGATAACGAAGCACGTCGGAGCCCACTTCTGCCTGGCCTAGACTCTGAAGAGGCCTCGGGAAGCCTGAGAAAGCGGGTGGCAGCGTGACGCGGGCAGAACCAGCGGAGACGTTTAGAACTCTTCTGCCTTGACTTCCCAGCCCACCCACGCGCCTGCCCCTTGGCGCTGGCGAGGTAGCGGAGCCGTGACATTGTTCACATCGGGGGGGGGGGGGCCCCGCCGAAG